ACAACAACAACAACAAAAAGATAATTACAAATAAAGGAAGTTTAATTAGCAGGTGATACAGAACAGAACAATCCAGTCAGTGGCAAACCACCACAGTATTTACAGAACTGTAAATACTGTAAAAACTGGAAATACAGCAGCAGCAGCACCTTGGGGCATCATTACCCTACAGCTGGAAAGTTGCTGAAGTCTGTGACATTCCACTGTAAATAAAGGTGTTATTAAAAATTACAAACTGCCCTGTAATGACTTTGATAACCTCCTGTGCAGCAGCCCCTATAAAAGAAAAACCAGAAGGCAGTTAGCAGGTCTTATTTAAACAACAGTAAAATAACGTTATTTATCTAGAACTCACTACACTGGAATTATTTGGGAAGTGCCTGATACACCTCCTAGGAGGTAAAAATGCCTTTCAGTACTTCCCCGTATTAAAGAGGCTCAGAAAGCTGCAACTTCCAAAGTTAGCTTTGCATACACTTTGCTATATATACTTTCTCTCCATGTACACACACTCAGAGTAACATGTGAGCAGACAGACCCATGCAAGTTGAGACCTCTCAAAATACATTTGAGAAGTTAAACTAAAAAAATGTACAACTAAACTGTAAAATAAACTGAAGGGTTACTTCACTGTGTTCCCTTTGTATTTTCCTGTAGTATGAAATATTCTGTAATTTCTTCAGAAGTTGCCTTTACATATTTTTCTGAAGCACAATACATGTCAAGTTTCACTTAATCAGAGAAAATACCTACATAGAGTATTTAAAACATAATTATCTTCAGCACTGCATGAAGCTAAATAAAGGAGGTAAGTTAACTGATACATCAATTTTGAGCACCCATTAAAACATGTCATTTTGACAATACCCATAGTCTGAATGAAGGTAAGAAATCAAGGCTATTTATATTACATAGATATTTTATGTAAGTATATTGTGTTAATTTAAAGGAAGACGTGTACTGAATAATTTTAAAATTACTACAGTTACTGCTTTCCTTTAAAAAAAATGAAGCCTCTTTCAAGCACTATTTTTAAACACATTTTTAAGCTCCTAGAATGGATCTACTGTGATTGTTTTTAAGTTCACTTGGTTTCTTTCACTGCCTTTAAACCCTTGCTGTGCCCACTTACTCCATATGCTACAGGAGTATGAACGAAGGGAGGATTTTGTCCTAGTGCTGTCTCTGACTGCAGCCCTTGCTCTGACAACAGCAGGCAGCTAAAGCAGCAGCGCTCCTGCCTCGGGCACGTCCCAGAGCGTTGCCCTCTGAGCCCAGGGCCATCCTTACCTCCCATGAAGGCAGCAACAGCGTGAGGCTCAGCAGCTCCATAGCGACAGCTGGGCAGGAGAGGGCAGTTAGAACGTGCCAGTGAGTGCTGCCCACACAGCCCCACCTACACCACAACACTCACAACTCATGGACATAGTCATCCTTCACCACCACCGGCAGCCCGTGCTCTTGGAGGAAACCAGTAAGGCAAGATTTTAGTTTGCCAATGTCATCTTCCACCTGGTAGTTGTA